TGAAATTTAACTTCATGGTATCATTAGAGGCTGTTGTATCAACCTTAGTGCCCGGTGTATTAATCTCAGCGGCAGTTGTATGTACCTCAGTAAATGACATTTGCGTAAAAACGTGCAAACATTTCACACAGACGTATCAACTAAGGAGGTGGAGCTAAGCTCTTAGATCACTTTCCAGCCATGACAATCTAAAGGATCATTCAGTTTTTTTTACCCATTTCGTAAAGATTTTTGCAATATTCATTTTATACGCAATAACATCCACTTTCCATTGCTGTTGGTATTCTGGTTCTACGGCACTACGGGCTCACCATATCCCGTGCTACTTGGAACTTTGTTCCAGGTAGCGAATCTTAAACAACAACAACATACGCATGTTAAGTGTTTTGGCTTTCTGTGGCACTATCAGTTGGCACTGCGATAGTAGCGGGTGCCGTCATACTTAGTGCCAGCCGTGGAAGTTACTCCCCCAACCTGCACTCTTGAGGAGCTGAGCTGACCAGGCCACTGATCAGATGCCGAGGGCAGTGAGGGGTCACGGGCACTCACCAGTGGAGCCTCGACCCCGTGCCTCAAACTCGTACTCTCCTAGATGTACTCAGCCCTCGATGTGTTTACAGGCACACGGGACACATCTCCCGTCACGCAGGGTGCAGTCGCACCTCCACGGATCTCCAGTATCAGCTCTTGATACTGGTAATGGCTCAAAAGGGCCACCACTTACGGGCTATTCATGCCCGTGCCACCTTTTGGGTGGCTTAATCCTCATCAATCATCAATCTGTTCACAGGGTCGAGGAACTAGGTCTGTCTCTTGGCCCCCCGAATGTCCATCTCCGCGTCCGTTTATGTAATTATTTTCTACTTGTTTCTCGTAGAATTTACTTTTGAAGCGGCTTGAAATGTTTAAATTTTGCCCCGAGGGACGAGTTTATTGGGCAGTGCCACTCATACTGCGAGTGGACACACCGCTATAGCGGCATTTGCAACAGTCCCCAATAGGAAGAAAACCCGCTGGGTTGTTCATCCTGTCATAAGCTGCTTATTTGATTATTGCCTCAACTCATCCATTGACTTGAGGCTCTTAACACGAAGAGAGGTTTACCAGAAGTCTCTCCGGCGCTGTGTCGGGCTCTAGCTCCTGCACGCGGCCTCTGCTCTTGCCGCTACTCATTTTTGATCACGTGACGAGTCTTGTCTTGTTTCATGCATATTTATTTATGTTGTATTTTATGTTTTGGATGTGAATGTCACACAAGTGTTGCATTCTCTTGAGTTGGTCTTATGTTGGTTGTATATTGGTCTCCTGAGGTTTATGTTCAAGATATCTCACAGGTGATCGCGAGACGTCGCCCATCGCGTCGACTTGACGTAAAAGCTATCGTGACCACTAACTCGGGAACGTTATTCATAACGCTCTTCAGAGCACCGTGGAACGATGATAACAACGACGCCAAACAATTCTAACTAACCCCCCCCTTCCCCCCCCCCATACACACACACACAGCATCTCGTTAGTAAAATAAGTGCGTTATCAGGCGTGTTGTGACACTGTACAATGATACTGGCGTCCTGGGGGCCAGATTCACGAAGCAGTTACGCAAGTACTTACGAACCTGTCCATCTTTTCTCAATCTTAGGCGGCTTTGTTTCCAATTATTAAACAGTTAATGAGCTCCGAAGCACCAGGATGCTGTTTATAACAACAACAACAGTTGATTGGGAAGTTTTCATGTTTGTAACCTTTTTAATAAATGCAACCAAAGCCGTCAAAGAGTGAGGAAAGATGTACAACTCCGTAAGTACTTGCGTAACTACTTCGTGAATCTGGCCCCTGGGTAAAAAAAAAAAATTAAAAAAATCGCCTCAATGTCAGAGTAGCGTAGAGGCTAAAAACCGGTGGGCTGGTTCTCGGCCACGTCACTATGTTTGTTCAGTAATCCGTGTTTGTGTTCGACTGCTCGTATTGGCTCTGCTCTCCAGAGCTTTATCCATGTATCATAACTGATGGCGAAATGAGGATAAATAGAGCGCCCAGAGGGACTATTAAACGGGTCTGGATGTTGATGTAGATTTTAGGATAAAGGATGAATTAAATGAGAGAGAGAAAGAGAGTAAAACCGGTGGGCTGGTTCTCGGCCACGTCACTATGTTTGTTCAGTAATCCGTGTTTGTGTTCGACTGCTCGTATTGGCTCTGCTCTCCAGAGCTTTATCCATGTATCATAACTGATGGCGAAATGAGGATAAATAGAGCGCCCAGAGGAACTATTAAACGGGTCTGGATATTGATGTAGATTTTAGGATAAAGGATGAATTAAATGAGAGAGAGAGAGAGAGAGAGAGAGAGAGAGAGAGAGAGAGAGAGAGAGAGAGAGAGAGAGAGAGAGAGAGAGAGAGAGAGAGAGAGAGAGAGAGAGAGAGAGAGAGAGAGAGAGAGAGAGAGAGAGAGAGAGAGAGAGAGAGAGAGAGAGAGAGAGAGAGAGAGAAGAGAGAGAGAGAGAGAGAGAGAGAGAGAGAGAGAGAGAGAGAGAGAGAGAGAGAGAGAGAGAGAGAGAGAGAGAGAGAGAGAGAGAGAGAGAGAGAGAGAATGAAAGAGATTACTGAGACATAGTTCGACATTTTAGTTCGAAACCTTAGCAGGACGGGCTGCACGGACAATCCGTCCGTCTAATTTAACGTCGCATTTTGACGTATACTCTACCTACGGCCAAAAATCAGGGGCCAAATTCACGAAGCAGTTACGCAAGTACTTACGAACGTGTACATCTCTCCTCAATCTCTGACGGCTTTGGTTACATTTATTAAACAGTTTACAAGCATGAAAACTTCCCCAATCAACCGTTGTTATTGTTATAAACAGCTTCCTGGTGCCTCGGAGCTCATTATCTGTTTAATAATTGTAAACAAAGCCGCAAAAGATTGAGAAAAGATGTGCAGGTTCGTAAGTACTTGCGTAACTGCTTCGCGAATCTGGTTTAAAGTTATTTGTGGTATCGTAGTGGGAAGAAAATACTGACAGACACTGTCACGACTCAGGTCTCTGGAAGTTACATGTATAAATCATAATAAAACACTCTCAATGTGTAATACACTCATTTGTGTCCAATATTATTTTATACATGTTGTTTCAGGCCTGGCAGTGCTTTGAGTAGATTATAGTAATAATGCATGTAGATTATGTGATGCTAATTATATATGTATTTTGGTGCTTGCAACCAGCTTATAGAAGAACGGGAGCCGGTCGGCCGAGCGGACAGCACACTGGACTTGTGATCCTGTGATCCCGGGTTCGATCCCAGGCGAGAAACAATGGGCAGAGTTTTTTCACCCTATGCCCCTATTACCTAGCAGTAAAATAGGTACCTGGGTGTTAGTCAGCTGTCGCGGGCTGCATCCTGGGGGTGGAGGCCTGGTCGAGGACCGGGCCGCGGGGACACTAAAAAGCCCCGAAATCATCTCAAGATAACCTCAAGAAGATCCAAATATGTTTTGACTGATCAATCCTCTGCAAATCATTGATTTGTAATATCGGTGCTTACATGATATTAATATTATGTATAGATTCGTTATTAAATAAGGAACTATTAATTAGCCTTGTACTTTATTATATATTTTATAAATAGTGTACTTGAGAGAGGTAAATATTTGCCAGGAATAGAGGTAAGGAAATACTCGTACCATGTACGAGTATTATGACAAGGATAGTCAACAAGTGGAATGGATTGAAGGAAGTTGTGGAAGCCACCTCCACTCACAACTTCACAACCAGCTTAGATAACGATTTCGAACACGAGGATAGTTGATTTATAACGGAATAAGGACGACAAGGCTAGTAGGCGAGGCGTAACTAGCTACATTATCACTTCCCCGTAGTCACTGGTTGGTAAACACTAACACCACTACCACTACTACCACCACCACCACCACTACTACTACTACTACTACTACTATTACTACTACAAGTATTACCACAACCACCATCAACACATCTACCATACATACCAACACCACAGCTATACCACCACCACCATCACCACAACTACATCACCACCAGTACCACCACCACCACCACCACCATCACCACCACTACAATCACCACCAGTACCACCACCACCATCACCACCACTACTATCACCACCAGTACCACCACCACCATCACCACCACTACAATCACCACCAGTACCACCACCACCATCACCACCACTACAATCACCACCAGTACCACCACCACCATCACCACCACTACAATCACCACCAGTACCACCAGTACCACCACCACCATCACCACAACTACAATCACCACCATTACCACCACCACCACCACCACCAGCACGAAGCTCATCAATTATCTAAGTTTGTTTACCTATCTGCAGCACAAATATCCGTGACGTGTCTCACCTTACCGCTTATATTTCTTAATAACTCTCATTTTAACCTCCTTTGTTTAAACAAAACAAGGAGGAGCGCACGCAGGTATGACGCAAGACGCGTCGAGCCACATCCTTCTATAACTGATTCCTTCTCTGTATCCCACCTTGAGGTGGCTACCTTGAGGTGCTTCCGGGGCTTAGTGTCCCCGCGGCCCGGTCGTCGACCAGGCCTCCCACAGGATTAATCTCGTTACAAAATCACTCCTGTAACGACGACACAGCAGGAAATCCAAGCAACAGTGTGGAAAGTCCGGAGGATTTACAGTTAACGAACATTGAGAACTTTCGGTTCTTGCAAGGAACTTGAGACTTTTAGACGAGAAGACGGAGACGGAGAAGACGGAGAAGACGGAGAAGACGGAGAAGACTTCTCCTTAAGACGGAGAAGACATACCGTAAGTAAGAACTAAGAACGAAGTACATACGAAGTGTCAATATGAAGCAATGCTCATCCTCCCGGTGGGAAGCAATGCTCACCGTCCCGGTAGGAAGTAATGCTCATTCTCCTGGTATGAAGCAATGCTCACCCTCCCAGTACGAAGCAATGCTCACCGCCCCAGTACGAAGCAATGCTCACCCCCCCAGTACGAAGCAATGCTCCCCGCCCCAGTACGAAGCAATGCTCCCCGCCCCAGTACGAAGCAATGCTCACCGCCCCAGTACGAAGCAATGCTCACCGCTCCGGTATGAAGCAATGCTCACCGCCCCAGTATGAAGCAATGCTCACCGCCCCAGTACGAAGCAATGCTCACCGCCCCAGTATGAAGCAATGCTCACCGCCCCAGTACGAAGCAATGCTCACCGCCCCAGTACGAAGCAATGCTCACCGCCCCAGTACGAAGCAATGCTCACCACCTCAGTACGAAGCAATGCTCACCGCCCCAGTACGAAGCAATGCTCCCCGCCCCAGTACGAAGCAATGCTCCACGCCCCAGTACGAAGCAATGCTCCCCGCCCCAGTACGAAGCAATGCTCCCCGCCCCAGTACGAAGCAATGCTCCCCGCCCCAGTACGAAGCAATGCTCACCGCCCCAGTACGAAGCAATGCTCCACGCCCCAGTACGAAGCAATGCTCCCCGCCCCAGTACGAAGCAATGCTCCCCGCCCCAGTACGAAGCAATGCTCCCCGCCCCAGTACGAAGCAATGCTCCAAGCGTGCCTTCACCAACGGCCGGCTAATGATGTCAGCGTGTGCTGTAATGCAATAGTCCCGCGTGATGTCAAGGGCGTGCTGTCTTGTTCATTAGTGTCGAGGCACGGACCGATGGCTCCTTCAGTTCAGAGAGGGATGAAGGGCAGGGATTGGTAGAGGGTGCTTAGGTATCAGGGGGATGAGGAGAAGTGAGCCCCATCTCTTTATGTGTCATGAAGACAGGACTTATTTTATCGGCAACCCGTTCTCGCACTTTCGTATAGTCAAAATTGACTTATTAAATACGTGCATGTGACATACTTAACATACTAGTTTACCTTGAAAAGCTTCATAGAAAACACCGACCTTACCTAACCTTCTTAATATGTTAAGATAAGCATCTTATTGCTTCGTAATTACAATTATTACTTAACCTATTATAGGTATAGGTTAAGTAATAATTGTAATTACGAAGCAATAAGATGCTTATCTTAATATACTAATAAGGTTAGGTAAGGTCGGTGTTTTCTATGAAGCTTTTCAAGGTAAACTAGTAAGTTTAGTATGTCACATATACACGTATTTAATAAGTCAATACTGACTGTAAGAAAGTGCGAGAACGGGTTGTTTATCGGCTGCTTTTATAATTTAATTATTATTCGATTCGCAATCATACTCGAATCAGGTTTAAAGTTGTGGATGGAGGTGGCTTTAACGACTTCTTCTTCGTTCCACTTGATTACTAGCTGTACAGGATACGAGTATTTACTTACATTTTATACGACTCGATTGTGTTTACAGGCTCCACCTGTGTCCTGTTCAACGTCGCCTCAATTTAAAGTGGCTGTCTTTGTCCACCTTGTCTTTCTTTCTCCCTGTGTATCATGTATATTGTGATCATGCCTCCTCTGTTGCGTCTCTCCTCAGAGGTTGGGAGGTTTAGTTCCTTCAAACTATCCCCGTAGCATAGTCATCTTAGTTCTGCTGATAATCTTGTTGCAAAATGTAGCAATTTGGCTATCTTTTTGTGTGTTATACAAAAGTGCGGATTCCAGTCTGGTGCTGAATACTACAGTATCGGCCTAACATAGGTTGTGTAGAGTGCTTTGAAAGAGCCTTTACTGAGGTTTTTAAACTACATTCTCATGCTTACCGGCTTCCCTCATGACGCCGATGCTCCTCTGTTTATATGCGCGTATTTGGTATCCATCCAAATACCTGTATTTACATACCGTTGATGACCCTAGCAGGAGACAGGGCCGCGACGGACGTTGATCACCCGGAATCACCCCAAAATGTAATCAGGTAATCCCCTCCCCACCCCACAATAATTACCCTGTTTCTAAACTGGTGTCGGACCAGCCTGGCTGTCTCCAAGCACCAGGAAGCGTGGCCTTTGTTTACATTTATTCACGTAAACAAAACTGATGGACCTTGAATACAACTCCTCAGACAAGTGGCGCGGAGCTTTGGGCTGTTTGGTTGTGCCCTTGCACGATTAAATGTCTCTTACTTACCATTATTATTATTACCATTATTATTCCAAGTATCACTGCTTTATTACCATTGTTAGTAGTGTTGCTTGTATTGTCTCATTTCTGTTGCTGTTAACGTTGCTAATGTTAATGTTGTCTTCGCTTTTCATTCAGTGCTGTAATGTGATTATATTTGTCCTCGTCTCTGCTATGCTCGTTGGTACTCGCGCGCTATGTCTCTCAAGAGTGCATTTCTGGGTATTGGTGGGTAAAGAAACCCTCTACATAGTCACATATGGGTAAAGGAACCCTCTACATAGTCACATATGGGTAAAGGAACCCTCTGCATAGTCACATATGGGTAAAGGAACCCTCTGCATAGTCACATATGGGTAAAGGAACCCTTTGCATAGTCACATATGGGTAAAGGAACCCTCTACATAGTCACATATGGGTAAAGGAACCCTCTGCATAGTCACATATGGGTAAAGGAACCCTTTGCATAGTCACATATGGGTAAAGGAACCCTCTACATAGTCACATATGGGTAAAGGAACCCTCTGCATAGTCACATATGGGTAAAGGAACTCTCTGCATAGTCACATATGGGTAAAGGAACTCTCTACATAGTCACATATGGGTAAAGGAACCCTCTGCATAGTCACATATGGGTAAAGGAACCCTCTGCATAGTCACATATGGGTAAAGGAACCCCGGACATAGTAAATCTGGGTAAGGTATGGTAATTATCAGGGAAAAGCGCTAATCCATTAAGATTATATGGCACTTGGTAGGGCTGTGAGGATAAGGATTTGGGATAAAATGGAAAAAGAAAATGATGCCCAACCACTTTGACGGTCGGGGACTGAACGCCAACCTGCAAAAAGCGAGCACTCGTATCTAAGTAACGGAACATGGGGGTATAGTCACTTGTGTAAAAGAACCCGTCATAAAGTCACATATGTATAGTGAAACCCGTTCACACAGTTATCAGATAATCAGCATTATCAGTGTGTTTAAATTTCACCCGGGTAATGGGACCAACAGGAGTGCGTGTTTTTTGCTTCCACCTGGATAATAGGGCCAGCTGCATAGCGTGGCTTGGGGGGCTCCACCTGGGTAATAGGACCAGCTGTGTGGGCAGGCTGGGAGGTAAACACGACCCCCTGAAGTGTGTTGTGAGGCGAGGCACGTATAGATGGCCAGACCTCGACACGTGCAACACCCGTCGCCCCCACGACCTGCTGCTGCTGCCGGACACGTCAAGGCCTCCTGGCCCGTGGTCCTCACCATCGGTCCTGGCCTGTCGTCCTCCTCATCGGTCCTGGCCTGTAGTCCTCTCCATCTGTCCTGACCTGTCGTCCTTTTCATCGGTCCTGGCCTGTAGTCCTCTCCATCTGTCCTGGCCTGTCGTCCTCCTCATCGGTCCTGGCCTGTAGTCCTCTCCATCTGTCCTGGCCTGTCGTCCTCCTCATCGGTCCTGGCCTGTAGTCCTCTCCATCTGTCCTGGCCTGTCGTCCTCCTCATCGGTCCTGGCCTGTCGTCCTCCTCATCGGTCCTGGCCTGTAGTCCTCTCCATCTGTCCTGGCCTGTCGTCCTCCTCATCGGTCATGGCCTGTAGTCCTCTCCATCTGTCCTGGCCTGTCGTCCTCCTCATCGGTCCTGGCCTGTAGTCCTCTCCATCTGTCCTGGCCTGTCGTCCTCCTCATCGGTCCTGGCCTGTAGTCCTCTCCATCTGTCCTGGCCTGTCGTCCTCCTCATCGGTCCTGGCCTGTCGTCCTCCTCATCGGTCCTGGCCTGTAGTCCTCTCCATCTGTCCTGGCCTGTCGTCCTCCTCATCGGTCCTGGCCTGTAGTCCTCTCCATCTGTCCTGGCCTGTCGTCCTCCTCATCGGTCCTGGCCTGTAGTCCTCTCCATCTGTCCTGGCCTGTCGTCCTCCTCATCGGTTCCGGCCTGTCGTCCTCACCATCGGTCCTGGCCAGGAGGACAAGCGAGGCACCGGTAATGCAAAGCGGCGACATCCCCCCAAAAATGAGATGTCGGGTTTTTGGCGATGTCACCCAGGGGAATCACAGTGTGTGTGTGTGTGTGTGTGTGTGTATGTTTCTCACACGCCTCACCGCCGCCACCACCTTATTGCCATTGTGCATAATGTGGTGCCGCTTTGGGATCACGTTTGACTCTCTATTGACATTTTTTTCCAACACCAATCACCGTATTGAGTTTCAGTGTTTATCCGGCGGGCACGCGTGTCGTCGCCCGCGGGAAAGAGGGAGGAGGGAGTTCTTGTTCAACTTTCCAGCTAAATTGGTTGCAATCTCACCAGTTACGCTATCTGTAGTCCCTCCAGCTAAACTAGTTGCAGTCTCCACTTAAGCTAGTTGCAGGCTCTACAAATGCATTAGTTGCAATCTAGATAAATATTAGCCTATCAGCCTCGTGCTTGCATTCTGGTGTTAACCTGTTAACATAATGTATGTATGGAAATTCAATGTTTTCATGAGAGAAAGTCAATATTTTAATTGGCTTTTAAGTGGACTCAGCATTCCAGCATTCCTGATGCGCTTTGATAGCAATGACAATGTGGATATACATTATTCCATCGATGAGAAGCAAAGGAGTTCCAGCTGTACGTGGACAAATGTAAACTGTGTTTACAATTTAAAGCAGATATTTATCAGGAAGACTTAAGCAGTGAATCTAATGGCAACTCGATTGTAATGACAGTAAACATTATATATGCTGATGGTAAAACTCCGTGGATTCCTTTTACAAGTCCGAATACGCCTCTGCTGCCTTATTCACCTTTGTGTTGATGATATCCTCAAAATGCATCCGGAGTCTGCCAGTGCAGACTGTCTATCACATGCCTCTGTATGACTAACCATCCTGTGTGATGGAGATTTTTTAGCATCACGTAGTTAGCTGTTTTGACACACTGTACTCCACTTCATATAGTCTAGGGTAGCTGCACTAATGCAGATGTACCTAATGTATTAATAACAAAAAAAAAGCCTCTCTCAATCCTAAGCACTCCAGGCGTAAGCTCCATGAGCAGGAACTGGGTTACGATCTCACACACTACTTTATCGAATGTTCAGTCATTAGACCCACCGGTCTGAAATACCTGGAACTTTACAATAACTTGACTCACTCCCGGGGACTTGAGCATATCTTCATAATGCTGCCAAAGTTTGCCAGCGCAGTCTACTGATCGCACGACCCTGTATGACTGACTTTCCTGAGAGATGGGGGGACACACAAGTACATAAATATCACCACAAAATAGAACACGCAACAATGGATAATAATTAGAGAAGTTTAGATTCAGGTAAGACCTGGGTAATTACAGGTTTGCCAACAGTGTTGTTGAATTATGGAACAAATTGCCAGTTATATAACAGACGGGTGTTCGCTGGATTGTTATAAAGCGTAGTTTAGACAGTTTTATGAATGAGTTTGGGTGGATATAAATAAGGAACTGCCATCGTACGGACGAATAAGCATTCTGTAGTTTCCTATATTCTTATAACCAGCTACTGACAAATTACGTAACCCCCTTCAAATAGTCTGGAATAGCTGCAAAAATGACCATGTATCT